GAGACTCATCAGAGTTAGTCTGCTCATTCAGAGCTATGTGGTTTTTCCAGTGAACCTGACAAGTTTTAACATGACTTGAATGAAGTACGAAGGAAGAGAACATTTATTCTGTTCATATAGTGAAGAGAGCTCAGGTTTGCTTTCCTGTACTGAAAGGGGTGAAAGGGAATATAGTACAAACCCCTTTAAAGCAAATTCAGATTTTGTAGTTACTGAATCTTACTTTATGTGAGTTAAGCTCTGCCAGCAAGCGAGTTACTGAAACAATGGACCCACCTGCACTTTGAGTCGTATCTTAGAAGAAAGGATTAGTAGAAACCGATTTTTTTTTGCCACCGTGAGTACTATGTATGAGTGAATAAAAGGTTGGTAAAGGCATGCTATTCTGAGAAGGTTTTACGCTTTGAATTGATCCAACATTCAGATCATGGTTCCAAGTCTGCTTTTCAGCAACTAGATCTTAATTCCTCTTTTCTCAGCCAAGGGTGAGAAAGCGCTAGCAGATTCACTGAACAAGTTATCGAGTGCTTTTCGGATGGTCAGAGCTCACTTACCTGTCACCATCGTCGCCTTCCGCTCGTCTTGGAGCCGCATCCCAAAAGTGCCTCAGACTCCTGCAGAGCGTCCTGGAGCTACAGTGGGCAGCAGACTATTTCCTGGGAGAGGGCAGCTGAGTGAACCATGGCTGGAGTAGGATTTTTGGCTTCCGATGGCTTTTTTTTGGTGATACCTGCTCAGAGAGTCAAAATTCCCCTGGCCAGGAGCAACTGGAGCAACTGGCTTTCTCATTCCTGGGAATGACTCACATGCCAGGGTAGGTGAGCGCTCCGCTCACTTCCTGGCTCCGGAGCAGCTGGGGCGCCCGGGACGCAGACAGTGATTCACCTGGGAGGTGGGTTCGTGCTGGGGAAGGCTGCAGAGCCCGCAGGGTGCTCACGGCTGCCCTGCCTCTGCCTCCCGGGGCATACGGGGTCTGCAGCGTGCCCCTGGATGTCGTGTCAGCCCGAAAAGTCTGGTGCTGGATAGATGAAAATATCTACTAATCAAGATTATCTTGCCAATTATTAATTTGATTATATTTAGGTTGCCTTTATTGTTGTGCTTTGAGCAGATCCTTCCTTCTAAATGGCATATTGGATGGAAGTAGAACTCCAGGTCTGTCACTTCAAGGTGCAGCTGAAGTGCCCTGAGTGTCTGTTTCCTGCCATGGTGCTCCTTAGGACAGACTGAGCCCACTGCCTCTCACAGCCCTGCCTCAGTGATCCTGGCTGTACTTATGTTTACAATTTAGTGCCTTTAGAGCGCTGAAATAATCATGGGGTAAATTTGGGACATATTATACGGTGACTGTTCTATTGGGACAAAGTTCTGCCTCATGTCAGTGGGGGATGAAGTGGGTAATTTTCCATATCTGCTGCCTTCTTTAAAAGAAAGCAAATTCCCATCTCTCTCATTAAAAATTGGGAGAAAAGAAAAAATAATCCCAGTGCTCTGAGAGCAGTGGCTGCCAAGGCCATTTTCTGTCTGTTCTGCCTGGACTTTTCTGTAGACATGTTTAAATTTTTTTCTCAAGTATCTGAGGGGCCGAGCCCCTAGTGCCCCTCTGCACAGGAGCCCTGTCAGCTGCGGGGGCTGAGCCAGAGCAGGACCCACCTGCTGCCCCCGCAGCGCTGAGCAGCTTCTGCTGGCCTCTGTCCAGGGAACCCTGTGCTAAATCCCACATTTCTGCTTGTGGGCAGACTCCAAAATTTCCTCTTGCCCCGGGACCTCTCCCTGGAGTCAGGCGCAGTCCCTGATCACAGCAGACTGCTGGCACAGCTCGCCTTTGAAGCCCAGCTTTTGCAAGGCAAAGCAAACCCATGCAGATGAAGCTGCAGGAACACGGGCTCACTCTGTGGTGTTTTCAGCTTTATTATTGCAGGCTGCCAGACTCATCCCAGGAGCTGCATACCCTGACAGCAGGGATGGTCCTGCTGCAGGCACAGGCACCCCCTGAGGATGGAGAAGGCTTTCCCTGCAGCCAGGGAGAGGAGACTTGATGAAGCCTTTGCCTTGCACGTGACTGTAGGACAGTGTGTGCTCCCCTTCCCTTTCCTTCGGCTGCCCCTTGAGCTCCAGGGCTTGGCAGCTGCCTCTTGGAGCAGGGGAACAGAGCTCAGAGGGTCTGGAGGGGTTTGTCCCCTTCTGGAACATTCCCCTGCAGGAACTCTGAGCTCCAGAGCCAGTGCTGTGCAGAGCACAACTCCTGCATCCCTGCCCGGGGACACAGCTGGGATCCAGGGGGCACAGCTGGGGCACAGCTGGAATCCAGGGGCACAGCTGGGATCCAGGGGGGCACAGCTGGGATTCAGGGGGGCACAGCTGGGATCCAGGGGGGCACAGCTGGGATTCAGGGGGGCACAGCTGGGATCCAGGGGGGCACAGCTGGGCTCAGGGGGCACAGCTGGGATCCAGGGGGCACAGCTGGGCTCAGGGAATGCAGCCACTCCTGCAGTCCAGGCATGGCACAGCAGCATGTGTTTCCTACATTTGTGCTGCTGCTTTTCAACACTGCCCGTGCTGGTGGTCTAAGAACCAGTGCAGCAGGACGTGCCATGGGGAAAGAGAGAAGAAGCTGAAAGTGAAAACTGAAATATTTTAGAAATGTGGTTTAGTGGCTTACAGAGACCCAGGTGTTCAGGGCTTGGCACTCTGGGAGTAGAGTTTGCACACCAAAACTGGTGTGTTAGTAATGCTCAAATAATAAATAAAATCTGCACCAGAATGCTGTTTTAGTTTGTTTAGTTTTTTAATTTGTTGCAAAGGCACGTTAAATTTTCTTAAAAATCTCTGTATTTTGGTGTGCCAGTAGGACGTGATGGCTGGAACCCCGTGCCCTGGCATCCCAGAGCAGGCTGAGTGCAGACGTGCTCTGGCTGCTGCCAGGCTGAGCAGGTCAGGGCGAGCTGACACACGAAACGCTGCAACGTGGGGAGCTCGTCGTAAAAACTGCGCAGAAGTGAGAAGGCCTGATGTAAAGAACAGCTGAAGGTAACCTGTAACTTAGCTATTGTTCATGTTATTTACAGGCTGGATGTCCCTTTTTGTGTTTTGATGATTAGAGAGCAGCTCTCAGATTTCATAAGACCTGAACAACGTTATTACAACAATTACTGCGTTGCTTCATTCTGAAACGTCTTCACTGCCATATTTAGCAATGTGAACTGCAAGGTTGTGTTAAAGCAGATTCATCACCTGGGTAATGCACAGGACTGGCTGATGCTGTTTTTTAAGCAGAAAAGTGTCAGCAAGATCAGAGCTTGCAACATGGGGAGGATTCTGCAGTGCTAGAGCTGCAGATGTGAAGGTGGAGGTGCTTTTGTCAGGGGAAGAGTCTTGGAAGAGCTGACACTTCTGACATTTCCCCTTTCCTGATGTGGATTACTCCAGTCACTCTGATGGCTGTCACTAACAGGGAAAGAAGGAGGAAAGTATCTAAGAACTGACTTTAAAAGCTCAGTTCTTTTCCCCTCTGTGCTCAAGCTCCTCACCGTGTGCTGACAGGGAGCCTGGAGTTCCAGACCTGGCTGGCTGATCCTGTCTGTAGGCTCGGGTCTGTCCTGGTGCCTTCAGTGCTGCCCTGTGCCCTGCTGGCTCTGTGCTTGTGCCATCATGTGGGTCAGACCTTGCTGCTTGACTCGTCTGCCCAGCTCTTGCTCAGGATGCAAATCACTGCTTTGCATTTCTATTGAGTTGAAGCACGGCTGTGTGTTATGAGAGTCTTCAGAGTGCTCAGAGCTGTGGGAGCCTGGATGGAGGGATGTGTGTGGCTGTGCCAATGGCCAGGATGTCTCTGAAGAGCAGTTTGTCTCTGGGCACCCAGGAATTACCAGGCTGTCCCTCTGAGGAGAGGCAGTCCAAAGACTGGAGGGTGCATGTGTTAGGTGAGCGTATAAAACACTTCCTTTTTCTGGAACACGAGGAAAATAAAAAATTTGTATAAGCCTCCATGTACACAAATGAGTGATTTCCTATGGAACTCACCTGAGTGCCCTGCAGTTCCCTTTCCAGGAATATAAGCCTCCATGTACACAAATGAGTGATTTCCTATGGAACTCACCTGCTGAGTGCCCTGCAGTTCCCTTTCCAGGAGCCCAGTGACCTGTAGAGGTGTTTAGGACAAGTGTCAGTACTTTGTGTGGAGCCTGGGACAAGGGTCATTTCTGCAGAAGGGTTCAAAGCCTCGTACCAGTTTTCAGTTTCTAGGTTTTTCTGGAGTGAGGACAAGGGAAGATTTGTCTGTGGGAAGGGAGAGCCCTGCTGCTGCCTCGTGGTGTGATGGGCTGGAGTGAGCAGGGAATGGTGCTCGTGTTTGCTGCCCTGTCCAGCTGCTGTGTCAGGGAGCAGTGAGGGGTTTGCTCAGGGCAGCACCAGCACCTTCCAGGTGGGGTGGGAGAGAAATCAGGTTTGGGAAAATGCTGACTGCTGTATTGACTATGCTGGTAAACTTTGCAGAATTCCACAAATCCCTGGGCTGCCCTGCAGGAATGTGGGGAGCCCGGTGAAGGAGCCCCAAGCTCTGTGCTGTGCTCCCTCCCTGCTCTGGGCCTCCTGCCAGGGGAGAGCTGCTCTCCAAACACGGCTCTGTTTGGTCACGTGCAAAGCCAAATACTGCTCGGGGTGTTTGTTTGGGCCTTCAAAAACAGAGACACGAACTTTGAGCCATTCTAACTCTTGTGATTTTTACTCCATCTGGAGGCAGTGATCTAAATCTTTGTAGAGAAAGTGTGCAAAATCCCAAGTGCTAGTGTTCAGGGGCTTTCTTCCCCAAGTGCATCAAGCAGGTGTTCTGTCCTTGCAGTCACCTTCACTTCTTTGCTGCAGAGTTTGGTGGCTTTGGCTCCCTTTTACCTAAGAAGCCACAGCTGAAAAACAGATGATTAAGACTCCTCAGAAACCTTTGGCACACCCTTTATTTAAGGACCAACTCATCCCATTTTGTGGTTACACCCACCCTAACACAGGCTCTCAGCACTGAGCTGTGTGAGCTGCCAGTGTGTGTGCACTGGATGAGCCTCAATCACAAGCAGAAGTCAAAGTAAATAAATCTCTGTTCTTCATCTTCTTGTTTCTCACTGCCACACTGCAGATCCAGAGCTGGATGCAGTGAGTGCTGGGAGTCCCTGGGACCTGTGTTAGCTGTATTTGTGGAAGCCACAGCTGGTGTGCAGACCCTCTCCTGCCCAGGCCCCTGTTAATTGCCAGGCTGTGTCAGCAGGTTGAGAGGAACATTTCCAGCCTGCTGTATGTTCCTCTAAGCAGTTACTGAAGGGCTGACTATTTCAGCGGCTAAGAATTTATTATATTTACTTTTCCTAAAGGAGCAAAGTTAATCCTGCTAACAGTGTATGTGTGTGGGGAGAGCCTTTAATGCAACAGCATTTAATGCAAGAGGTAGACAACGGCTGAGATAACACTGATTTATTGGGGAATTCAGAATCAATTGAAAGCTCATTGGAGATTAGTTCAGTTTCCAGTTAGGAAGGTGTTACAGCTGTGCAAGGTATGTAACATGCCTGGTGCAGAAGATGTAGTGGGTGAAGTTGCTAAATAAGACATACATCTCCCTGTGTAGCAGAGGCTGGGAACCCCAGAGGCAGATATAATTAATGTACAGCAATCTAAGGCAGCTTTGAGGAAATCAAGCTGTATGGAGCAACCTGCTGGATTGGATTAGGCTGCTGTAAACAATGAATTTCTAAAAATAGCAGTCAAGTGGTGATCAAAGCGCCTGGCACGTGTGAGAGAGGGTAAGCTGGCAGGAGAGCTGGAGGAGAAGGATGGTTTGGGATAAGGGACACTGCTGTCTTGAAACAGTGACATCAATTCCAGAATCTGGGGTTGGAAAGCAGGCACAGTCCCTGTGGGACAGCCAGGGGAGAGCTGTGTGAGTGGTCTGGTGGAGAGGGATTCTCTGGATGGGGAGGCTCAGGCAGTGTCCCCTGCTCCTGGCCTGCTGTTGGGACTGGGAAGGTGAAGGTGCCACCGAGGGGGACATCTCTGGGAGTTCCTTCCTGGTGAGGGGAGGGAGGGGCTGAGCTGGCCTGGCTCTGGGGTGGGGGAGGCAGGCCTGGCTGCTCTGCTCACCCAGGCAAGGAGCATGTCCTGGGCAGCCGGGGCGCTGCCAGCACTGCCCTCCAGCAGGGTGCTGGGGAGCAGAGGAAGGGTGGTGAGCAGCCTGGGTGGCAGGAAAGCAATGACATGTGTGAGAGAGCCGAGGAGGGACGGGAAGGGACCGAGTCCTTCCCGCTGTTCCTCCTCTTCCCTACTCTTGGTGTGCAGCCAAGCTGGCACTCAGGGTAGGAATCACTGACATGCACACTCACCAGCTCTGGGGTTTACTCCCAAATAAAGCTGAATTGCCCTTCGGAGCAGCCAGAGTCAGTGAGCTGCTCAGGTGTTAGCAAGTGAGTTGTTCTAGTTTAAAGCAGATAGAATTGACCTGTGGATTGTCTTAGGCAGTTTGAACAAGAGCCTTTTGGCCATTAAGGCTATGCAGTGAGTGTTCTTAGAAAATCCATTTTGCTGCATTTATTGAGTGTTAATATTACTTGGCGAACACCCTTTTGTGTTCTTCAGCAGCAGTAAACCAAACTATTTTTCAAGTTCTTTACGAACATGCAGAGCAGAGGGTGCAGCTGCAGAATCAAGACTCAGTAGGAGATACTCGTGTGTCCAGTTCTGTTTTTGGGTTTGTCTGGACTGTTCTCTGCAGAGCCTTCACCCTCCTGCAGAAGACCTTCTCCACAAAGGGCTTGCAGAGGAACAGGTAGATGAGGGGGTCCATGCAGACGTTGGTGGCTGCCAGCCACAGGGTGCTCTCTTTGGCCACGAAGAGCTGGTTCTGCAGGCGGCAGTCCATGTGGGCACTGGTTTGGCTCACAGTGTAGGGCACCCTGCTGAAGTGGAAGGGGGCAAAGCACAGGAAGAACACGGTAAAAATGATGAATACTTTCCCCTTGATCCGTTTTTCGCTTCTGTTGCCTTTCTTCTGTGTTTTTATGTAAGACTCGTACACCTTTTTGGCAATAATGATATAAAACAGCAGCATGAGGATGAGGACGGTCCAGAAGATGAACTGGCAGACATAGTTGACGGCTTCGTGCCATTTGAGCCCGAGGTGACTCTTCAAGGAGGCACACTTCCTCACGGACTGGGGCGTCGCTGTCTTGTTGGACAAGACCATGTTGGGCAGGGAGAGAACAAGGAAGAAGAGCCAGACCAGAGCTGCCAGGATCTTTGCTGAGGTCAGATTTTGCACCCAGAACTTCCCAAAAGGTCTCACAATCTTGAGAAACCTGTCGAGAGCAATGAGCCCCAGCAGCACTATGCTGATGTACATGGTGTCGTAGAATATCACGGCTGAGAAGCGACAGACAAAGGCCTTGAGCTGCCACGGTGCCAGGCCAGAGTCCGTCAGGATCTTCAGGGGAAGCATCAGCGTCATTAGAAAATCAGAAACCAAGATATTTTTCAAGTAGACAATGAAGGTTGATGTGCTGGGAATGTGGAAGAAGGCCCAGCAAGCCAGGCTGTTGAGCACGAGTCCCAGGAGGAAGATGAGGGTGTAGAGCACTGGGAAGAGCACGTGGGTGACGGTGGTGTCGCGGTGGCACTGGGCAGAGGAGGGTGCCCCACTGCTGTTACCCACAGAGCTCGTGTTTGCAGGGTCTCCCATCACTGGAAACAGACTTGGGTGAAAAGGAGGGAGAGAACACAAAACACAACCTTCTGTATGTAGTATTGCATTTCCTTACAGTGACAGCAGGTTTGCATGAATAAACACAAAACCCCAGCGTGTGTTAAGCAGCCCAAACAATTTATCTTCGGGTTCATGGAAAACCTAAATCTTTGCTGAAATTTAAATTGTTTGCAAGATAAGATCTGCTGAAGAGTTAAAAAGGTTCATACTTATTTTGGAGGCCTAGGGTGATGTCAGCAGGGTATAAGAGCAGACTGCCTGGAGCACTGTGGGCCTTTCCATGGAAATGTATTTTAGCACTGAATAGAAATGTTAGAGCTGTGGCCCAAAAGCCAGCCACTCCTGGGTGAGTGACTTCTGGTAATTCTTTCCAAGCGCCCACTCTTCTCCTTTCTCAGCACAGCTTTAGATAGCGTTTCCAAGATCAGATGCACACAGGTGGCTCCCAGCCCTGGGCACCAGCTGCCCGAGCACCCCATCCCACCCCAGACACCCTGGCCCTGCGAGTACCTGGACAAACCTGCAGCAGCTGTCACAGAGCCCTCTGTGGCTGTCCCCTTCTCATCCGCTGCTCCTCTGCCAGCAGAAGCCTCGAGCAAAGTGTTAACAGCGGGGAAATGTGTAGAAAGATGAGACCTTTTTCTGTTGGTGTGTGGTTTCCTTCCTCATTTCCAGTGTCGCCTGAGTTAGTCACATTTGCTGTAGCTTTTGTCTCTTCCCTTTGCTCTGCGTGAGAAAGCACACCATCTGCTCCTAAGCTGGGAAAGGAAACCTGACCCTGCCTCTCAAGGCAGACACATTTCTGGGTTTGTGTGTACATGGGACAGACCTGCTACACCTGGGCTGGTAGGATGAGCAAACACAGAGTGTTTCCTGACAGCACTCCAGAATAACCCTCAAATGGAGCTCCTAGTTGTTGTTTGTGTGTGAATTCCACGTTCTGGATGGCACCAGTCATTGCCAAGGCATTACAAGAGTCTGCTCAGAGCCACCTGGCAGTGGTGCTCGGGGACTGCCCCCTCTCCTGCCCCTGGCACAGGGCCTGGGCTTGGCTCTGGCTCTCCAGAGTGGATTCCTGGGTTTTTGGCCCATGCAGGCAGGGGATGCACTGTGCTGCTCACAGCCCCTTCCTGGAGCTGGCAGGAGCTGCTGCTGCGTGCAGAGCTGTGGACTGATGATGTTTGTTGGGTGTAGGCTGGAATTGGGTGCAGAGCTGTTAGCAGAGCTGTGTGTGAGGGTTTCTTGCTGCCTGCTGCTGGGACAGCCCTGGCTCAGGGCTCGCTGCCATGTGGGCAGTGGCTCCTGCCCAGGCATCTCCGGGGGCAGGTGTGGATTGCTCCAGGACATGCTCAGGCTGCAGCTGGGCAGGGAGCCTGTGCATCAGGACCTGGGCCGTTTTGGGTAATGTGGGTGCTGGTGGCAGTGTTAAAAGGCTGCTGAGAGCAAGCAGCCCTGAGGATGGCTGGGCTTCAGTCACCCTCAGCACTGCCACCAGCGTGATGTGTCCCTGGCCACCAGACCTCCTTCTGTTCCCCACAGGTGTCACAGTCCACTGCCATGCCCAGGACTGGTGTCCAAGGCAGTGCCTTCCATGTTTTGTTCCCAGCTGAGCTCTTGGTGCTGCCAGAGGCAGCAGGTACCTGTGCACACCCACCCCAGGGACAGGCGTGTCTGTGGTGTCTGCTGTCTGGACAGCTCACCTGATCAGGGAAAGCAGCTCCTGCCCAATTGCCACTCTCTCTCCACATGTAGGTGCAAAATATGTGCAGAATGAGTTCTGGGTGGGAGTGGGGCATGTGGCACATCCCTCCCTGGCATTACTGGGACCTGACGTGCCCAGGGCCTGTGGGCTGCTGGGGGAGCAGGCTCAGGGTGGCTGGAGACTGTTCCAGGGAAATGCTGGTGCTCTGGCTGGACCCCAGTTACTGTCCCAGCTGGAGAGGGGCCCAGCACGGGCAGGGCACAGTTTGAGGCAGGGTGAATCCATCCCAGCAGGGTGTAGAGATGCACAAACCCCAAAGCCGAGGGTGGCAGTGGGTGAGCAACAAGTGAGCTGCCTTTTAACTTCTTAGGAAATTGGTTTTGGTTGCAGAAGAGCCCTGGCAGGCAGGGACACGTCCCAGGAAGGATGGACAGGCTGTGGCTTTGGCAGTTTGAGCTTGTGTGGTGGGGACACAACTGCTCAGCTGGAGCTGTTTGCAGAGGTGATAAATGAACCACAACTTATTCCAATAGCCCACAATCTATTTCATGTACAATTGCTGTGATACCTCAAAATGTCATGTACTTGAAAATACTTCCCTGGTTTTTTCAAGTTTTCCAAGTGCAAAAAGGGAAGTGCTTCAGTATTTTGTATAGTGGAAAAAGCTGCCCTTAATTATCAGTAACGAAGTTACCGTGAGCCTGTCTTTCCCCACGATCTCAGTATGATGTAAATTGAGTGTTTGTATGTTTTCTAATATAAAGTTCTCTGTGAAAACATACAGTTTTGTTTATTTATATAGTAAGGGTAAGGATTTGGGGATTTAGTAATATCAAGATAAGCCTGATTATTAAATAATTTCCTCTGAAATACAACTATTAATTATTGGTCAATGGATTAGGAACTGCAAGCATAGAATGAGATAAGCAAAATGTTATTCTGTTACCAAAATCTGCCCAAATGGCTGTCTCTAGGTTTCTGTTTGTCTGCCAGTTGCATACAAGGTGACAACTCCCCGTAGTGAAAAATCACATCTACTGTGGATTTTGTCTGCATTTCTCAGGTGTTGTCGTGAACTTTACTCTGGCCCAAGTTTAGCTATTTTTGCAAAATCTTTACAGTTCATGGTATCACCTGTAGCATTTCATGGTTCTGTTTTAAGCTTTTCCTCACAGTTCCACCTTTGAGTTCAGACTTGTTCCCAGCAGTCCTGACAGGCGTGGAGGTTGGGGACAGAGGGACTCCTCTGGTATTTAGCTCTCTGTTTTTGCAGGCAGTGGTGGTGGCTCCAGGGGGCTCGTGCTTCATCTGCAGGGTTATTTCTAAAGAAATGGGTGGAGTTCTGGATGCTCCTCATGGGTCAGTGCTCCTGCCAGCCTCGGCGAGGTGTGTGGCCAGGAAGGAGCCCCGAGATCTAGAGCGGCGTCTCGTCAGTGTCATCCCCCCCGTTCTGCCCCTTCGTCTGTGCCCCGAGCCCTGCCCCTGCCCTGTGCTTGCACAGCATGTCCAGCAAGGATTTCCTGAATGATTTGCAAAGGAAAAAGTATATGAATGGATCCAGGCAGGCGTTGAGGGACGTCAGCCACAGCGTGGTCTCCTTCAGGTAGAACAGGGTGTTCCGAGCAGAGCAGTCAAACACATCTCTCGTTTGGCTCAGGGTGTAGGGGATTCTGGTAAAGTGGAATGGCACAAAACAAATAAAGAACACAGCAATTATTATGAAAACCTTGAAATTGACAGTCTTTTTAGATGCCTTCCCTGTGCTTCGTGTCCTTTTGTAGGATTTGTACAGTTCCTTGCTGATGAGGATGTAACATACCACTATGACTGCTAGGTTCACCCAGAAGATGAGCTGACAAATGTAGTTTACAATTTCATGCCAGACTAAGCCAAACTCTGATTTCAGGAGGGCACACTTCCTCACGTTCTTGGGTGTTTTCTTCTTATTATTTAAGATCATGTTGGGTAGCGAGAGAGCAAACATTGATACCCAGATTGCTGTGGACAGGATCTTGGCAGCTAACAGGCTGCGTGGAGTGGATGTTCTGAATGGGGAAGTGGCCTTCTGATAGCGATCAATAGTTATCAGACCAAGAAAGAGGATGCTGATGTACATGGTGAAGTAAAACACTACCTGGGTGACCTGGCACACAAACCCTCGCAACACCCAGGACACCAGCTTTGCATCACTGAGGATTTTAAACGGAAAAGTCAGGATCATGAGGAAGTCAGAAATCACAGTGTTCTTGAGGAAGATAATGAAATTGGATTTACTGGATATTTTGAAGAAGACCCACATTGCCAGGCCATTCATGGTGGTCCCCACCAGGAAGAGAAATGTGTAGAGCAAGGGGAAGATGACTTGGCTGATCCTGCTGTCACTGGTGCAGTTGCTGTCATTCCTGAAGGAGCTGAATTGGGTTGTGCCTTTCATTTGCATTGTGGCTATTTCTTCTCCCTGGAGAAAAAAACAGGAAAAAAAAAAAAAAAGAAGAAGAAATTGAGAGTTTTATCTTTTATGAGGCTTCAGCCTTTTCAGTCAGCTTTGAACTGTTGCGTTGTGAACAAATGCACTCTGCTGGTGGGGCCCTGGCTGGGCCAGGGCAGCTCTCAGGTGTGTGGTGTGCAGCTGCTTCTGTGTCTGGCCTCTGCCTGTGTAAAACAGGCACTCAGGGGAGCTGACATGCTCTCAGCTGATGCCCAAACCCCTGACAAAGCTTTATTTCTTCCTAGAAAGTAGAAAAATCTGCCTTTTTCTTTGAAAGCTGTCTTTTCCTTTGGGGAATGGGGCGGTTTCCTCTGCCAGGCCCCGAGCTGTGGGAGCAGCCGGGCAGAGCTGGGCAGGCTGTGGGGCAGGTACCGGGAGGAGCTGGAGCTCCTGGCAGGGGCTGCGCTCAGCGAGGGGGTCCCTGGCAGCCCCTGCAGCTCTTCACCATGGCCCAGCAGCAGCAGCGGTCCTGGGGAGCCCCTCGGGCGGGCAGAGGCAGGAGGAGCAGCTGGATCCAGGCCTGGCGCTGGGACCTGCCTCTGGCTCTGTCCTGGCCAGTGACAGCTCCCGGTTCCAGATGATGCACTGTGGGCTTCTGCTTCTGTTTTCTGCAGAAAGAGACAGAAATGAAATTTAAAGAAATAATTAGCAGATTGCTTCCTGCCTTTGACTGACTCCCAGAGGCACTGTTTGTAAAGGGAGCAGGAATTTGTCAGATTGTGCAACTTTTCTGAGCACAGAGCTGCCTTCCTGTCTGCTCCTTTTGGCCTTGTGAGTCCTTAATGTTATTTCTGTACACAGCCTTGTTTCTTAAAACTTTTAAAGCACTTGAAAGAAGTAGTGATTTGTTACTTTGGGGAAGGTTATTATCTAAGGAAATATTTCTTCCTTATGTGACTTGTAGGACAGTGCTTCAGGTTTTAAGCTACATGCAGTAAGTCAACATTGTATGATATAGACATGTAATTGAAAGACTAAATATAAACAGTTACAAGAAATAAACAACAGTTACAATGAAATAAACGACACATATTTCAGTTTCTTTGGGATGCGCAGGACACCACTTTAGGAGCTGTATCTTTTTTTCAATGGATTTATGTAGTAAGCGTCAATTTCTAAACATCTGTCTTCTGTTTGCTGATCTGCTGCAGAGTGTTGATCCAGGGGGCAGTTTGGAGGGGCAGCCATCTATGTCCTCTGACCCTGTCCTTGTAAATTCGCATGGAATTCATAACAGCAGACTGCATTTTTCCTTCTGTGTTTTTACCCCACTCTGCAGGGCTTCCCTTTGGCACCCTTGCCTCCCTGGTGACGGCCATGGGAGATGGTTTTGTGGCAGAGTTGGTTGTTTCCCCTCAGGTTTCCACAGGTGACGACAGGGACAGGCAAAGAGACTTCACCTGTATCTGCTCTTTTCAGGATGCTACACATCTGATTGCCTGCAATGCCGTGGGTTTCTGAGGAGTAGCTCTGAGGGGTGGTTATTCTACTTTAGCCATTTATTTAGCTCCCTCTTCTCCTTGTTCTCTAGTGAATTGCGTTTTTGTTTGCCACACAGTTTATCCGTAATGTGTTTTGGGGGTTGTTATTGCTGCTGTTTTAGGTGCTAAACTTGGCACTTCCTTCAGCTCGGTGTTTGTGTGTGTTCTCAGCTGCTGAACGAGCAGAGCATGCTGGAGGCCGAGCTGCACCCCGGGCTGGGTGTCTGCATGTGGCCTCCTCCTCCTGGGTCTGCATGGTGGCCTCCTCCTCCTCCCCCCCAGCTCCGAGCAGCTGCACAGCTCTCCCAGGGCTGCTGGCAGCAGTGCCTTTCTGTACCACAGAAGGCAGCTGTGGGTTTGCTCTCTCTTCAGCCCCTGGGTTCAGGTGTGGCAGTGCTGCAGGTGAGCTCAGGGCCGTGGGGAGGATGGTTTGTCTCTCAGCCTGTGGCCACTGCCAGGGCTGCTGGGCCCCTCTCGTTGTATTCCTGGCCAGGGAGGGGGTGTGCATCCTCATCTCCTGCCCCTGGCCCCCTCTGCCTCCCTGGGGGCCTCTGCCACGGGTGGCACCAGCTGTGAGGTCAGGGCTGTCAGCCTGGCGTGGCTGTCACCTCCCCCAGCTGACAGAGGGGTCCGTGGGGTCTGTGACAGTCTGGGACAGGATTCTCAGGTGCATGGGGACAAACTCGGGGTGCCTTTGTTTGCAGGTTGTGTGGGGTGGTGAGCACGCTGTGGTCCCTCTGGGGGTTCCTCTCCAGAGCGATGTTTTAGCTGACCTGCACGACCTGTACGTGTCCTGCAGCCGCCTGAGGAGCACGTTTGGAGACCGGTTCAGGTGGGTGCTGAAGGAATTGCTGTCACCCCGCCCACAGGCTGCTGCGGCTTCCCTTTGCTTTGCATCCCTTGGAAACGCCGCGGCCTTTGCAGCCTTGGCTTCACTGATGCAGCCGCTCTGCCCGTGCCCGGGGGGTGTGCGGTGCCCGGAGGATGTGATGTGCCGTCCCTGAGCAGGTGCGGTGCCCGGGGGGTGTTCGATCCCCGGGGGATGTTCGGTTTCTGGGAGCTGTGAGGTTTCTGGGGCTGTGCGGTTCTGAGGATGCTCTGTCTCTGGGGCTGTGCGGTGCCGGAGGATGTTCGGTCCCCTGGGGCTGTGCAGTCCCGGGGCATGTTTGGTCCCGCAGGATGTGCGGTCCCGGAGGATGTTCTGTCTCTGGGGGCTGTGCGGTCCCTGGCGGGGGTTCGGTGCCCGGAGGATGCGCGGTCTCTGGAGATGTTCAGACCCCGGGGGATGTTCAGTCCCCCGCGGCTGTGCGGTCCCTGGGGATGTTCTGTCTCTGGGGGCTGTGCGGTCCCTGGGGCTGTGCGATCTCTGGGGATGTTCAGTCCCCGGGGCTGTGCGATCTCTGGGGATGTTCAGTCCCCGGGGGATGCTCGATCCCGCAGGATGTTCTGTCCCTGGGGGCTGTGCGGTCCCTGGGGCTGTGCGGTCCCTGGGGATGTTCAGTGCCCCGGGGCTGTGCGATCTCTGGGGATGTTCAGTCCCCGGGGGATGCTCGGTCCCGCAGCATGTTCGCTCTCCGGGGCTGTGCTCGGGGAGCCGGGGCTGAGTCGCTCGGGGGCTGCTCTGCCGCAGCTCGGGACCCTCTCGGGGCAGCCGAGCCCCGGCACCGGGACCCCCTCACCCCGCTGCCCCCCGGGCTGGGGCCCGTTCGGTGCTGGGGCAGCGCTGGGTGGAAAAGCTGCCAAATCTCAGCTGCCGCAGCTGCCGCGCTCTGTAAGGGCTTCCTTTGGTGCGGGGAGAGGCACCAACCTGTTTGAGTTTGTGAAGTTTTGTGTTTGAGCGTTCAGTTCCTTGATTTTTAAGTTAAAAAAGAATTAGGTTCCCGTATGGCATATTTTTGGCTTTTACTTTTTAAAGGAGGAATGGAAACCTTTCAGATGCAAATCCACATCTTGTGGTGCTCACAAACTGCCCCAGTTGCCGTTTCCCCTCCTGGTTTGTGTCCCTAGTTGGGGTCTGCAGAGTTCAGGTGTGTGGTTCCATTTCATAGGGAGCAGGAAAATATTTCTCAGTAATAATATTTTAATAGGTTAAAAGACACCTGGCGGCAGTAGGGTTTAATCAGAAACACCAGGAAAAAGAAATAGGAAATATAGAACTGCACAAGTGTCTGAGCTCTATGTTAATTTCTTCTGCTTACAAGCTAAACTTTGATAACACAATAAAAATAGCAAGTTTTGTTAACGTTAATCTACAATAACAAGTCAACAGGGTCAAGTAATCATACAAGATATTAAAGAATTTGTTAAAGATATCATACACAGAACTTGTTTGGAAGGACCTTTTTTTAAATCAAGTAGAGTTAGAAATTCCTGAAAACTGTTAATAACATTTATGTTTACATTTTGAAGCAGCTTCTTGGTCTCCTTTCAAAGCACCCAACCCCAGCGCATGTTCACAGTAACATTTTCAGCTCCTTTCTAGCCTGCTGTAAGCCCAGCTGTTTCCCTCAGTCAGTTTGAGGCAATAATAAATTACAACAATTCACAAATGCTCACATTTAGAGACTCACCCTCTGTGGATTGCTGTGCTCTGGTCTCTGCAGTGTCTTCTGAGCGTGTGTCAGTGAGGGAGGGGTGTGTTTGGTTTCGTGTGCCTGGAACAGTTTCTTATCTTCCCTAAACTTCCTCTTTTTAAAGAATTCTTTCACTTTTTAAAAAGATTCTATCTCCTTGACCACTCCTTCGGTATTGCTTCTGGCACAAGTGTCTCAGAGTGGAACACACTGGATTTCTGTCTTTGCTGTTGCACTGGCTGTAGAGCAGAGGGGTGACATCAGGCACTGTCCTTGTAATTAATTACCCTGCTAATGACCTGGTCCTCCTGCCCTGGGGTATCAGGATGTGGAGCAGCAGGCGAGGGCTGGCAGTGATGGGGGTCCCAGGGCTGCAGGAGATGTTTTAAGTTAACTTCAATTCATAGATTATTTTCAGTAATGAGGAAGTCTTCCCAGTTGGGTTAATTAGTGACATTTGTCCCTGTGATATAAAACTTTGTGCTGGAGACAAACGTTCCTTGGAATATTTTGGATGTGAAATTTGCATTCCTCAGTCAAGGCTTCGTTTGCAGGAAAACTTGAGTGAACTAGGTGTATCAGCCTTATTATCTGGTAGATGCAGATTATCCAAAATGAGTTTGAAAACGTGTGTGAAGTGCTACCCAGCCAGGGTTTGCCATGCCAGCAGCTTTCCTGCAGTGAGCCTTTGCAGCAGCTCGGGCTCTGGTCCCCAGCAGTGCCTGTTCCAAGGTGGAGCAGAACATCCACAGCCACATCCAGCCCCCAGACTCCAGCCTGCTGTGGGGCCCGGGGCTCATGCTGGATTTCCTGGAGAGCCCTCAGCCCCCAGCATTAACTCCTGGGTGCTGGGCAGGCTCCTGGTGCCGAGGCAGCTCTGCCTGGGGGCAGCAGGACGGGGCAGGTGACCCTGCTGGGCTCTGCAGGCATCCCTTGCACCTGCTGTGCCGTGCCTTCCAATCGCTGTCACTGTCATCCCTGCTGCTGGAAATGTGTGAAGTTCTCCGAGTCACTTTGTGTGAAGTTTCTCAGAAGGGAGGGAGGAGCAGCAGGCACTCGCTGTCAGGCAGGAGCAGCTCGGGATCAGCAGCTGTGCTGTTCCAGACTGAACAGCTCAGGACAACCTTTGCCTGTTTGAAGGCTGGAGATGAGGGCAGGTTCTGCATTAGGTCCTTGCCTCCTGTTACGATGGGTGTTTTGTTTGTTAAATGTGTAATTTATGGATTATGTCTACATAGGTTTTTGAAAAATCTGGTTTTTAAAAATAATAGGAGTTTTTATTGGGGGCATGGCTTTAAACTGGCACAGACTAGATTTACATTGGATATGAGGGAGAAATTCTTCCCTGTGAGGGTGGGCAGGGTGCCCAGAGCAGCTGTGGCTGCCCCTGGATCCCTGGCAGTGCCCAAGGCCAGGCTGGACAGGGCTTGGAGCAGCCTGGGAAAGGAGAAGGTGTCCCTGCCATGGCAGGGGTGGCACTGGATGGGATTTAAAGTTCCTTCCAACCAAAACCAGTCTGTGATTCTCTGGAGTGTGGGGCATCCTTGGCAGGGCAGAGCAGCTGAGAGGAAGCAGTTTTGTAAGAGCACAAAAGGGAACATCTAAATGCAGCCAAACGAGTTTCACTCTAGAGTAGAGAGAACATAACTTGCACTGGGCTGAGTCAACTCTGCTGTTTCTTAAGCTGTTACATAACCCTGAATCATGCCCTAAATCACACATTACACCGTATGGCATCTCTGAAGCAAAATTCTTTAATGCCAGTAGATTTTGTGGCTTGTCTCCCTCCTGAAGGCAGTGCTGGCCGGGCAGGGGGAAGGGTCCTGCAGTGACCTGTCACAGTGGCATGGGGCTGGGGAGGGGTGCCTCACACCCCTCTGTCCCTGAGCCTGGGTGCCTCACACCCCTCTGTCCCTCAGGCTGGGAGAGCAGTCTCAGTGTGGCATGGAGCTGGGGCACCCCTCTGTCCCTGAGCCTGGGTGCCTCACGCCCCTCTGTCCTTGAGGCTGGGAGAGCAGTCTCAGTGTTACCTGGTTTTATCGAATGATAAAGTTTCCTGAAGCTATTACAAGCTTTATGTTTTTTATTCCAGAATTTTGGTACTTGAAATCGGTATTTGTTGAGATTCAGGTAAGAGCTGTCAGTATTTGCCATAAAAATGTTTGGGAAGTGCATGAAAAGGTACAAAAGGGACAAGTGCTGATGTGTAAATGTTGCACTGATTATTCTATAAAGTGCTTGTGGCAGGGGTGTGTGCACTGCTGTGCGAGACCCTGCAGTGTTTGTCCTGCCAGGTGAGTGACTGTCCCACAGGTGGGTGACTGTCCCACAGGTGTGTGACTGTCCCCGCAGGTGTGTGACTGTCCCACAGGTGTGTGACTGTCCCCACAGGTGAGTGACTGTCCCACAGGTGTGTGACTGTCCCCGCAGGTGTGTGACTGTCCCACAGGTGTGTGACTGTCCCTGCCAGGTGTGTGACTGTCCCTGTCAGGTGTGTGACTGTCCTGCCAGGTGTGTGACTGTCCCACAGGTGTGTGACTGTCCTGCCAGGTGTGTGACTGTCCCACAGGTGTGTGACTGTCCCTGCCAGGTGTGTGACTGTCCCTGTCAGGTGTGTGACTGTCCTGCCAGGTGTGTGACTGTCCCACAGGTGTGTGACTGTCCCCACAGGTGGGTGCCTGTCCCCACAGGTGTGTGACTGTCCCTGTCAGGTGTGTGCCTGTCCCCACAGGTGTGTGACTGTCCCACAGGTGAGTGCCTGTCCCCACAGGTGTGTGCCTGTCCCCACAGGTGTGTGACTGTCCCACAGGTGTGTGCCTGTCCCCACAGGTGTGTGACTGTCCCACAGGTGTGTGACTGTCCCCACAGGTGGGTGCCTGTCCCCACAGGTGTGTGACTGTCCCTGTCAGGTGTGTGCCTGTCCCACAGGTGTGTGACTGTCCCACAGGTGTGTGCCTGTCCCACAGGTGAGTGCCTGTCCCACAGGTGGGTGACCTGTCCTGCCCTGCCCCGCTGGCCGGCAGTGCTCCTCCCTGGAGGATGCTGTGTCCCGCGGCAGGGAAGCCCCAAGGGAGAAGCCTGGAAGCAAAGCCCTGAGGCTTGCCGGGCAGTGCTGGTGCCCAGCAGGTCCTGCCAGGCCGGGCACGGGGCACAGCTGCTGCCCTGTGCTGCTGCGTGCAGCCCCTGCCCGCCCACGCTCTTGCTCACCAAAAACCTTCCTGCTCTTTTCCTGGTTTTCAACCACTCAGGGCCACGAGTGCTAATTCCTGTCGCTGAAATCATTGAATTTCCACTAAGATGGAGCTGTGAGGAAGGACATTTCCAGCCTGGCGCTGGGACTCCTTGTGTCCATGTCCCACCTCCCTGTCCATGGCCCACCTCCTGCAGCCTGTGGGACCCTGGGGCTGAGCCGGGGGCAAGGATGGCCTGCCAGCTGCTCCTGCACCCCTCCAGGACAGCCCGGGTGTATCTCTGCAGGACACCCCGTGTGCCTCTCTGAGGGCATTTCCAGCCTGGCGCTGGGACTCGTGAGGTCCTGGGCAGATTCTTGTGTCCATGGCCCACCTCCTGCAGCCTGTGGGACCCTGGGGCTGAGCCGGGGGCAAGGATGGCCTGCCAGCTGCTCCTGCAGCCCTCCAGGACAGCCCGGGTGTGCCTCTGCAGGACACCCCGGTGTGCCTCTCCAGGACAGCCCCGGTGTGCCTCTCCAGGACACCCCGTGTGCCTCTGCAGGACACCTCAGGTGTGCCTCTTTCCCCAGCAAACAGGAGAGCTGTCAGCTGCCTCAGCCTTCCACTGCAGAAAGTGAGCCCATCGTTGGTTTTTGATGGCTGCATGTTTTCACAGATAAAAATATCCACAGTGCAAGCTGAAAAGTGCAGATGTTTCACTTCTGAGGAGTTGATACCAATAATCTCAATTATTTGGGAAGTGGTTTGGGTGCAGGTAAAGCTAGAGGGATTTGCTGGAGCTTACAAATTCTCTGCAGCTGGCAGTGTTGAGAAGGGCAGTGGCAGAGGCACTGACAGGGATTCACACTGTGCTGTTTGGGAGCCTTACATGGAAGTGGAGAGGAAGTGTGATTTCAAGCATTTACAGCATTTAATTTTGCCTCATTTGTCATGCAGGTGAGGTAAGGGGAGTAATTTCCTAAATCTATGGTGTCAAAACCAACACAGGCTTCAATGCCTCATTGTGGTTAAGGTCACATGGACACAGTGAACCAACAGGCTGCTCTGTCTATCTCAGTGCCCACAGCTTATTTTGATATTAATCCACCATAACCACATACCCCAGCTGAATTAATCACTTACCTGTTGGGCTGCACTTTCAATGTCAGAGATTCAGTTCTTTCTTCAGCTCATGAGCTTCTGTAGCTGTTCTAGATGAGGAGGATTTCATACAAAGAAAATGTTAGTTGGTAAAAAAAACCCATTTTTCACCAGATTTCCTCTTCTTGCCACAGAGAAATTATTTTTTGGAATTCGTTCCTGTTGTGATTGTCACCTCTTGGCTGCTGCTCACCACAGCATCGAAGTGGGGGCTGTGTTTGCAGTCCTGAAGGCAATTGTGGTGCTTGGTAAGGGTGTGCAGAGTCCTGTGAGATGTGTCTGTGCCAGTGTTTGTGTGGGAAACAGCCCACGCTAGTTCAGTTCTGGGGGAATGCCCCTGGGAGAGAAAACCCTGGGAACGAGGGAGGAATGTGGCTGCTGTCCTGCAGGGAGCACGTGGGGAGGGCAGGCTCCAGGCCAGAGGCAGAATTCCCTGGGGACAGCCCCAGGAGAGGCTGTGGGCACATGTGGCTGTTTCACATGTTCACCCTGACCTCCATCCCCGACTCCACTTCAACTCAGGCAAGTCCCTCTCAAATATAGGTAGGAAATAGGGGCTCAGATGGGTTTTCTGTCTTTTGCCACAAATCCTGGGTGTCTGCCATGGTGGGAGTTGCACAAGCATCCCTCTGAGCAGCTCTCCACGAATGGTGAGTGTTATTTCCCAAACAAGGAACTGCCTTTGGTTTGGCACTACCTCAGCTTGGCACCCTGCATTTAAATTCAAATTTTTTACTGGCTTTGCTGAAGAAAAGCATCAGATAAATGGTAGTTGTTGCAGTTCTGAGCTGAGGAGGCAGCTCCAGTTTTATCAGAGCTTTCTGGGATGGCTTTGGGTTCAGGGGGCCTTGTGCCACTCCTCATTGTGTTGTCTCCCTGCCAGCTCCCTCCCTCTCATCCCTCCTGGATGAAGGCGTGGGCTCACAGTGAGATGGAGGGGCCGCTGGTCAAACTTACCCTTTGAATACAGAATGTTAATAAACCAGAGGGAGAGAGCCCTTGGAGAAAGGGCATCTGAGAACAGGGGTTCCCTGCTGCTTGGCTAAAAGTCCTGAGCAGCAGTGTCAGCTGAGAGGTGTGGAGGTGCACATCTGCTCCTCCGTGTCTGACATTTTGGCATGCCATTAACTACTAAAAAGATCAGTGATTGTGATGTTCTGCTTGTAAGATGAGGTTTCTGCACATGCTGTGTTAAAGGATGAAATTAATTTCTTTTCTCCAGACCTGTAAAGCGCTGAGTTTAATGTTAATAATATTAACACTTAACAACTGTAATGTGAACTCTTCCCTAGGACTTAGACCAATGGACTCTGTGACAGTCCTGGCTGGAGCTGCAGCTCCTGGTCAAACAGTGTGTGAAGAACCCTGTGAGTGTTGGTTTCCAAACTTTCTGATTTAAATATTTAATGCAAAAAAAGTGTGTTGAATGTTGACAGAGTCCATGAGCAAACATGCCACGAATGTGCTCGTGTGCTTGTGTTCCCCTGCCCGGGGCTGTGGCTGAAATGAGCAGCTCATTGGATAACATCACAGAGGCCACAGGGGAGGTGTTTCAGCACCCCTGAGCTAGACAATAACTCTTCTAGCTCTGGTATAGGCCTCTTCTGTCCAAACTCTCTGGGAAATGCTGACACAAGTAATGCAAGACAGAATGGTCAAAAGACATTCCTAAGGTATTTTATAGCACCTTTTTAATTATTTTAGGCAATGTGATGCTTCATTGTGTGTTGATTGCCTAGACTGTTTTGCACTTGAACCAGGAATTATGGCTGAGGTTCCTTCTGTTTACTTTTGAATAACAATAAATGTAGTTGCTACTCTTGAACTTTCTGCACATGAGAAGTTGTGGCTGCTCAGTCCTCACTGGTGACTCCAAAGGCATTTTATCACTGCTTTACTGAAGCAGCCCGGTCTTGTAACAGCTACAACTGGATACAAAACTGCATGGATATTTTGGCTGAAGTAAGTTTGTTCTGCTCCGAGTTCCTCTGAGTGAGGAATGTTGCTATAGGAGATTTCCTAGCTGTTAAGCTCCCACCATTGTCATGTCACTTGCTTCCTGTTGGGAATTAGTTCAAGCTCATCTCTAGCTCCAAATGTATGAGAATTTTAATTACTTAATGGTTTTTGATTTTTCTGCAGTAAAATATTCTTCCACGATGACTGAAATGTGTTTGTACTTTCTTGGGGTTATGCTAGACATTCCATTGAATTAAGTCTGTGCTGGAATTTTACAGCAAGCAGGGCAGCTCTTGTTCTAATCAGAGCTTCTAGGGGAAACTTCCCTGGGACCTGCTTCAGACCACGAGCATGGATTAAAAACTTTAGCTGCCTTATCTCCACCAAAATGACATCCCTGGTTACTCAGAGCAGTCTTGGGATAACCTGCTGTGTTCCAGGGTCAGGCCTTCAGGTGTGGGGCAGCTCTGAGGGTCCCCTGAGCTGGGGGGTCTCAGTGGCAGCTCCTGCAGCTGGGCTGGCTGGGGCTCTGCCTTCCTGGATGCTCCTGAATGCCTCTGCCAGGACTTTGTTGACTAAAATAGATTACAGAGATGCAGCAGTGCCACTGGAGGGGAAAACGGGTAGACAAAACAGGGAAGGGACTGAGGATGGGAAGTATCAAAATAACTTTACTAATGAAGTGCTGTGTTTGCTTCTCCTAAAGCATGTCCCTGCTGAGCCAGCAGCCCTTCCTGTCGCTGGTACTCCCTTGCTGAAGGGTCAGGATGAGCAAAGGGAAGGGCTCTGTGCATCCCTGCACAATCAAGTTACTCAGGTAAGACAAGCACAGAGCCATGAGCACCCTTTGTCAGCTGGGTGTGTGTCAGCAGTTTTATGTGTACACGATGGTGTAAACCCAGGGAAATCACAGTGCTGTGCCAAAAGGAGCAGTCCCAGCAGGGGAAAATGGGGAGGCCTTGTTCCTCTTTTGAGTGTGAATGCATCTTTTCTCCTAAATTTGTTACAGAAAAATGTAATGGACTGGAGTCTGATTTCAGATTTTTTAGGAAAAACAATAAAGGTGTTAGCCCTGAGACCATATCTTCCCAGCCCCTTGCTTGATCCTGGAAAGTTTGTATAATTTAGAACTGCCCTTCTTTAGGAAAACCTGTCACCCTCCCCAGCCGGCACAGATCAAGAGTTTTGTGTACTGTAGACAGCAACACTCCTGGTCCCAGGCTGGCCACTGCCTGCAGCTCTGCTTTGGCTCTCTGGAGCTTGCCCACAGCCCCTGCTGATGGTGCCCCAAAGCTGCTGCCCCAGCAGCTCCCTCAGGCTGAGCCCCCCCAGTGCCCGAGCAGGGGCCATGCCTCCTGTCCCCGAGCTCAGCTTCTGCCAGCTGCTGTGGCACTGAGAGCGGGCACCACCGGCATTCCCCACACTGCCCCCAGCTCAGGTCCGGGCTGGGACACAGCTCCAGTCCCAGGGAAATTCATTCCTTTGCGGTTTTCCCCCCTGGTTTCTGCCACTTGGGTTTTCCTTTCGCTGTCTGGGCTGTCCCCTGACGTGCAGCTGGTCCAGGTTCCCTGGGTTCCCGGTCCTTTCTCATCTGGAGACCCCACCAGATCCTGTTGGGAAGCTGCATCCAGTGCAAGAGACTTAGTGACTTACCAGTTGTGAAATAGTATGCTTCAAGCAATATTGCTAAGAAATTAAAAGTAAGTGTCATATATGTAATTTTCAGCATTTCCTTTGAATTGCTTTCTGTGCTCTTGTTTTAATCCTGTCATTCCTAGTGTCTGGGAAGGCCTCTTGGAAAAAGAGGAAAGACTGAAACATTCCTGGTGATAAGGGAAAAAGAAGAAAATAAAAATACAAAAATGTGGGTGTGGGAAGAGATTTACAGGATTTTCTTCATATTCTGTTAAATCTGGGAACTCTGCAAGACACTTTGTTACTTTTATTAATGTTTGGGACACTAAACTTGCATTATATACTTTCTGTGTTGCATTTAAAGAAGAGATGAAAAGAAAACTTATGTTCTTCAAGCAAAGAGAAAAATCCAAAACCCTTGCAAAGCCACTTGCTTAAATTTAGTAAAAGTACGAGGAAATGATTCATGCAGAAAGTGGATGTTTTCTAATAGTGAAAGCAGTGTGGTGATGTGCCCTGTCCCCGTTTCTGTCTGGCTGATGGGTGTGTGTGCTCCCAGAAGGAGCTGGGGGACAAGAGAGCATCGCCAGGGCCTGGCAGCCCCCCTGACTCTGACTCAGGTGTGTACGTGCCCCTCTTGTTTGGGGTAAGGTGTAGCTGTTTCTGCATGTGCTGGTCTCTGAAAGGCTTCCTGGTCAGGTTGTGTTGACACCAAACAGGTTGGTTTACACCCAGGTCCCATTCAGGTGGAAACCAGTTTGGAAAAGTCTCACACAGCTGAACTGTGCTGCTGTGCAGCTTGGTCTGTGTCTGAGGCGCTTTCCCTTCTATTGGGGCTGGGGCTGTGGGTTCCTCAGCTGAGCAGCCACTTAGAGCAAGGGCTGGAAACAAGCCTGGCACCAGTGTGGCACCCTGGTGTGGGTGTGCTGGTACTCCCTCAGCATCCAGCTGGATGTGCCCCTGGGTGTGCTGCTGCTCCCTGAGCATCCAGCTGGATGTGCCCCTGGGTGTGCTGCTGATACTCCCTGAGCATCCAGCTGGATGTGCCCCTGGGTGTGCTGCTGCTCCTTGAGCATCCAGCTGGATGTGTCCCTGGGTGTGCTGGTACTCCCTGAGCATCCAGCTGGATGTGTCCCTGGGTGTGCTGCTGTTCCCTCAGCTGGTTTGTGCATGTGCTGTGGCTTAAGTAGCTGTAATTTTAAGATTGTTTTCTGGCCTTTTTGATGTTTCAGTGGAGTTCTTCCTGTTAGTTACTCCCTGATACTTAGAGCTCTGCATGTGCTGTGGCTTAAGTAGCTGTAATTTTAAGATTGTTTTCTGGCCTTTTTGATGTTTCAGTGTTCTTCCTGTTAGTTATACCCTGATACTTGGAGCTGTCCTGGTGCTCCCCCTGACCGTGGCCTGGAGAAGATGCCTGCTCCTGGGGCTGGCACGTGCCTGGAGCTGTCAGTGGGAATTACCAGACCCCCACAGGAATTGACATCATTGTTAAAAACAAAGGATCTGTCTCTGTCTTTTCATAATTCAGTAGGAAAATGGGCATTACTTACGAGTTAGCAAGGTATGAATTAACACTTCCTTCTGCTGTGTATTTTGGGACTGTGCACAGGCCAGCTCACAGAGTGCCTCCCCTGCTCCTCGCTGCCATCCCCGCTGGCTGACACAGCCCCTGGCCCTGTGGGGGTACCCCTGGGGTACAGCCCGGGGGTCCAGCCCGGGGGGCCCCTCCCCAGCCCAGCCTCTTCCTGCACAGCCAGCCCCTGCCCTGCTGGGGGCACAGCCTGCAGCCTGACCCAGTGCTCCTCTCCCCGTTTGGCCGATCCCTCTGTCAGCCGTGGGGTCTCAAAGGGCTTT